ACAATGTAGTTAATGAAAATAATGCAAAACAAACTCAACGGTTAAATTTTTTTTATTAATATTCACTGAGTTTCGTATATTCTATATCATTACTCCTAGTCTTGCCTAAAAAACACCCGACACTGATCTGGTTAATGTGTGTCACTCAACAAGTTGGAGCAGCTTTCTCTGCCCATAGTATGTGGAAGCTCAATAATTAGTAGGTAGGACCAGGCAGTTAAACTGGTCACACTTGACTGGTCTGTTCGATGATTGGGTCGTACTGACAAATGGGATGTCTGGCAATTGCTCCTTTTATGGGACCAATTAGTTTTATGACCACCTGGCCTCGGCACAAGCGTCGTGTTGGCGTACATCACTTATGGTGACTGTTTTTCACCATTCATATTCTAAATTCACTCATAATACCAGACCATTACAGTACTCGTTGAACCTTTAAAACGACTTCAAAATGTACAATAGATTGAACGAACGAGAACAAATATTATATTTGTATTTGGTAATATGTAGGTTGTTAAATATGATTTTTTAATTCCTTTCATTCAAAATGTCAACAATTGAATTATGCTTGAGATATAGGGCTGACTTGTTGGGAGATATGACGTTAGCCACTGAGACCCTGAGACTGTCTAGTGGACACGGTTTTACCTTACTGTACCATCACCCTGGGTGTTGTTATTAGGGATAAATTGAGAATACTACACTCATTCTCGTTAGATACCTTTTGTACGAAACGAGCGGACTTTCTAGAATGGCTAGACGGACCCCTACCTGCTACCCGATTATATACGACATTGACTATTACATTAGTTTAACCTATGTACGTGAATCAATGGCCGCTTTACCAAGGAGGCAGTCCGCTAAAATATGATTTCAGATATTATTATTCACATCAAAGGTACACGCAGCACTGACCTGTTTTCTGGATACGAGAAAGCATTCATGATTTAATGTTTCATTTGAAAATATGATGTTGTCACAATGTCTGATTTATAACGTTTCACTTTTCTTTATCTTCATTTCGTCAGCGATAAAAAGTGTACGTGGTAAAATAAACTTTAAAGAAACATTGTGAGTAAGTACTAAATACATCAATACGACGAGAAAATAATGTTTACATACGCCTACTTGATCTGAGTGTTTATTTCAAGCGATTACTCACTTGGACACTCTGTGCTGCTTGATACATAATTACTGTTTTGTATCTGGGAAAGATATTTTATCACTTTAAATGTCTGTGAGTAAAAAATTAAAATCATATTGACTTATTCTGTCTCACGCGATGCATTTTCTACAAACCGTTTTTCCGACCAGAATGTCCGTGTAAGATGTCTTGTGTCCACTTAGAAGCCAGTTCCACTCCCCTTGAAAACCGTTGTTCAACACACTGTTACTAATCTTCAGGCTCACCCACATAATTCAGCTTTCGTTTAATACATTATGAACATATATATAGAGGATAACCTCTTTATCATATAATGTCATTCTTTAATTATGTGCTTCAAAATCGCTCTCCCTCTCTCATAAACATTACCCAAACACTGCGAGTTTTCCTGGAATGCGCGCATTAATATTTATTACGTCACAGGGTAAGGGATGTGTCAGTCGGACAGTGACAGTAGCCAATATAGTTCCAACTGAAATCTGTTTCTTATACAGCGGCGAAGCAACATATTCGCAAAACAACAATTGTTTTTAATTGCCTTTCGCGGCAATCCATCGGTCTGTCCGCTAGAGTAACTGCCCTTTGTCAAAGGGATACTACTCTAAACCTAGTCTACGAGACGTCACGGCCATAGTCAGGCGTTGTTGACAGTCGGTCTGTCCTGTCATAACGTTAAGCAGTGTAGTCAGATGTACACACAGCGACAAAACGAAACAAGGTAACAATTCAAACATATTTCGGCCAAATACAACTATTTTAATTTGTGGAGAAGGTTTCAAGCCGCAGAGGTCTACAAGCACAGATATGGCAACTGATCCCGCTTCGCTAGGCCTCGTGCCCTCGCAAAATTGTTTCTCCAAAGTTGCCAAAACTTATAAAATGCCTTCGCTACGTCACAGTTAGACACTGATTTTCAGTATATAAGACTGACCTTTTGATAATGATAACAATTATCTCTGTAGTTTATCCAGATTCCCGATGGTTAATTCTGACTCGATCGCCGAATGACAAGCGCGACGCCATGTTTGTTTATAAACAGTAAAAGTAGTCCCTACTTGACCTTTGATATTTGCATCTCTATCCGCATAGGACCCCAACGGATATCGTTTTTATCCGTTGGCTTTATCCTGCCGAGAAACCTACCCATTATATGATAAAACTGATTATTTTACAACTTCTCATTTCATCTTTTTCATAAAAATGAACATGAAAGCATTTCCTGAAAGCAAAAAAATGTAGTTCAGTAATTTTCATGTTATTTCATGTTGTACATAACACGTTTAAGATACCTGTTTTAGACAATTAAATATGGCGACATATGCAGTGCATATTTAATGTTAAACGTTACTCTTTTATCATACTGTGTCTTAATTCCTTGAAAGGTAACATGTTGATCATATTGGCAGGGTAAAGGAAGCCTTGTGGTGAAATAGATGATTGAGTGAACGAATCTACTGAGTATCTTTCAGATGGTTTCCGCCGGTAGATCCTTACAAGGAGAGAGAAGCAGAGAATGAGACTGATAAGGGATGAAACCCCACTTCAGACTTCCGAATGTGCTGTTACATGTTTCAGTGTATGGAATAGGCAGACAGTTTCACACGGAGGAACGTTTGTTTTGGGCCGCAGTTTATTTTCCACATCCCACCCTCTATACGTGTATCGGGGGAAAAAGGACCAGCTGGTGCAGAAATAACTTAAGAGCCCCCAGTGTCTGACGAAGTGATTACTGCAGTGAGATCACAGCATGGCCTTCTGTTGTGGGGGAGCAATGAGCCATATCGCACATTAAACACACTCGTTTGAACACAAACATGGGTATGCATTTTTAATAGAAATAAACGATGACTCAATAATTATGACATGCATATATAAATAATTCTGTGCCGAGCTTATGCAAGATGAATATACTTGTTCTTTTATTGAAAGATTGATGTGGAAGCAAAGCCAGAAGTGATTGAGGTCTTAGACTTGTTCCGCTTTAGGTGAAACGACCGAGCCCGGGTATGATGCCAACATACCAAGAATCATAATCGGGTATAATATATATATATATATATATATATATATATATAAGGGGTTATGTAGATGCTATTTGTATGTACAAAGTCATGTATATATACACACAACATGACTATGTACATACAAATAGCATCTACATAACCCCTTGCACTGAGGAATGTGAACACCCCATTAATATTGTTAGTGTAATATGCTGCTGCAAGAACGAGGAAGTTTTGTTTGATATGTCATAGAAATAATAAGGTGGTCGTGAATTACGTGTACATCTTGTGTATTTGTGTGTTCACCATAGTCCCAGCAAGTTATATTCATGTCGTCTATGTAGTTTTCTTTGATGTTGTTCAGAAATGTAGTACAGTACACTAAACAGTCGAGGACAGCTTGGTTCAAATAAAACAAACGAAACCTATCTCTATAAACATAAGAAACCTTTGCTAAAATTCCCTCTCAAGCATACAAAACCGATAAAGGCTTGGTGATACAGTTGAATGCTCGAAACAGTCCTGTGCAAGCACTGACACATTTTTAGCAACATCGGAAATGTTGTTAAAACCGACTCCAGTGTCCATTTCATGTCTCGGCCTAGATACGATACTGTCATTGGAGCCAACGTAGGATTTTTGTAAATCATCATCTGACAGACTGAATAATACACATCTTAAACTTTGACCTAGCAGATGAACAAAACCGTGTTTGGGCTGTCGATAGACCCAAGCTGGGCTCCCGATAAAGTCGTACATGACATTAAATGGATCCTGTTGGCAACTCCGGTTTTGAGCGATATATGCCACCTGACACGTTCAACCACTTTAGCTCACAATGTTCCATTTGAATATGCATACTTTATACATCTAATGGTGATCGTACCCGGAAGCCATGCCTGTAGCCTTTACTTCTGTGTCTGACATAATGGCAGTGTAAACAGGTTGCGTGTGCTGATAAATATGTCAGTTTTAGAAACAACAACCTTGAATACAAATATAGTATTATTGACATGTATTTACCCTTGAAGATCCGGGTTAGAATATGTCTTCAGCAACCCATCCTTGTCGTAAAAGGCGACTATGCTTGTCGTAACACGCTGCTAACGGGATCGGGTGGTCAGACTTGCTGTCTTGATTGATGCATGTTATCGTATCCCAATAGCGCCGATTGATGCTCATGATAATAATGTCCAGACTCGATTTTTTACAGTCATACAAGAACACGTTTAAATATGGCACTTGTTGTTACCCTGTCTGGCGCTCGGCATTAAGGGACAATAACAAGGACTGGTCGGCTCGGAGTCAGTATACTGTGTATGAGTGGGGTTTTCACGTTAAACTGCTGCATGGTATCTATCTCATCTGGCTTTAACATCGGTATTAGTCCGACCTAGTACAAGCAGCCACACACACGTACATGCACGTGTCTATATAAATAGAGAATCTCACCCGAGTGTCTTTTGATATCAAATATATCAACACGTGTTGATAAAAGTGGAAAAATCCGAGGCTTGCCGAGGATTTTTGCAACTTTTATCAACGAGTGTTGATATATTTGATATCAAAAGACACGAGGGTGAGATTTTATTTATCATCCAACATCATTCTTTCAACTTTTTCAATTTGTAGACAGTAATTAGCAGTGTCTTCAGTGTAAAAAGTACTGAAAACGGCTTCAGTAGCAGAGCCATTAGTGATGTCATTTGATTGTGACGTCATGGTAACCAGTGACGTCACAATGGTCTGCAAAGCATTGTGATGTAATTTCATTGCAGCGATATCTACAGTGTAGATATCGCTTGATCTCATCCAAGCGATATCTCCTGTGGGAGCCAGTTTTGGATGATAAGTGCAATTATCTTGGTCGCGACGTTAAAACAAAAAATTCCCTCACCTTATGATTAACCCAGATGTGTTATGAATTGAAATGGATTGGATTAGTACAAATATTTGTGTTTATTACTAAATGGTGTTCCTGAATAAAAACTAATAAATAGAATAACACAAAACACATTAGCATTCAACATGACATAATCATACACAACTGACCATCGCTGTGTCAAACTAGATTTGTCAGGGGACATAGTTCGACCAATGGGTGAACCAGGTTTACAATGCTGGTAATTCCTCGTCATACCGTCACCACAAACACATGCCTTTTTCCGTTTGTGATGATGATCTATTTAACAATGAAACACATATAGACCCAATCATTCTTTCATTTTGATGAAAGTTTAATTCGCTTTTGTATTTGAAATATCTGGTGTAACTTGCTATCATTTGACATCGACGCCACCAGAATACGAGACACACAATTCGAGTGACATGACTACTGAGTACACTGACGGGAAACAGAAAGTATACACTGGAAATTGGATGTGACAAAACATTACAAACCTTTTTTTACAAGTTAATAGGCAGAAAACAATCACCGAAACATTGTAAACTTAGGGTCCAAAGCACAGCTATGATACCCGTATCAAATGTATAACCATTTCTTGTGAACCACCATCAAACATGGGTGACAAACTTTCATTGTCCCGGCAGTTCAGTTGACTTGGACTAGATATTCACTTCGAGGTCAAAGATTAAATCTGACATAACAATGTTCGAATAATAAAACGAAGCGCATTTTAAACGACCACTTATCCTACCCATATCAACACTTGACCAGTCCCTCACCAGTAAGGTTAGGTCAAATGCAGCCTCAGCAACTGATCAGCTTTATACAGATAAGTAGTGAAGGGAGCTATCTAGGTCACTATAGCAGTAGTTATAACATATCCCAAGGCGTACAATAGTTACAGTCCGTTTGGCTCCAAATGAGAACAATGAATTAAAAAATAACTCAAACTAGGGAATACTCTTTCAAATGTCAAAACGGTACACGGCATTGAATAGCCTGTACCCAACAATATCTGCTGTTTGTTATTTCTATTCACATCAATGGAAACAATTGTTTAAGAAACTATCACGACAAAACCGTAGGAGGAACAGCCAAACACACGCTGTACGTTGTACATAGTATACGTCGTTGTTGACTGACAAGATTGGCTCCTCAGCTGAGGTGAAACAGTTGATTTTTAAGGTGCATGATTTCTTTTACTGGGATGCATAATAAATACTTGAAACAAGCTTCTAAAGCACTGGAAACCGAACATGATTTAATTGTTATCATTTGGATATAGATAAAAATAGGGCTGTGTTATGTGAACGATCTGACGTCATTCGTCTCATTATCATCGAACCATCAAGCAGAAACGTGAAGAAGGACATGAGCCTATTTTCCTAGATGAGACGAGGGTAAGTGCCTCTCACACTGACAGCAGTCAGTGGGTACCCAGTGGGGACTGTAAGGAGTCTGTGAGAAGGTTACCAATGGGAAAAGGTGAAAGACTTATCGTTCTCCATGCTGGCTGTGCTAGTCAGGGTTTTCTCCCAGGCTGTGACCTTGTCTTTCGATCAAAGGCCAAGGACAGGGACTACCACACAGAAATGAAAGGCAGGGTATTTCTTGAGTGGGTGGAAATTAACGTGGTCCCTTATTATGATGGGCAATGTACCGTATCACAGTATGCAGGATCCAGATAGCAAGGCCCTGACGTCTAATAGCCTAAGAGGGCTACAATCATAGCGCTATGAAATCGCCAAATCTAACAAAACTGAGCCCTGTATATACATGCTTGACAATTACGTCAAAGGACAAGGTCATGCCGTCCTACGATCTGAACCCAGTAGAGTTGATATGTTGTATCGTCAAAGGTGTTCCTCCTACCGTGATGACCCCATCTTCAAGATATCAACATGTACACAAAACAACTTTTTTCCAGTGATGGGACTAAACATAACAAACAGCAGATATTGTTAGGTGCCGTATTGACATTTGATAGACTATTCCCGTTTTTTATTTTGTTTCCAATTCATTGATCTCATTTGTACCCAAACGGACTTCAGTGCGTGTAATGATATAAGATACAAAAGTTTTGCTTACCTTGATTCATGCAATTTGTTTTTTGTTTAACGCCGCACTCAGCAATATTCCAGCTATATGACGACAGTATGTAAATAATCGAGTCTGGACCAGACAACCCAATGATTGGCATAGTGAGCATCGATCTACACAACTGGGACACGATGCCATGCGTCAACCAAGACAGTATGCCTGACCATCCGATCCCGTTAGTCGCCTCTTAAAACAAGTATTGATTGCTGAAGACCAATTCTAACCGGATCTTCAAGGATCTCTTGATGTTATGCCCACCCAAGCCAGTGCACAAACATGCCTGGAAGTTACATCATGTTCGCCCATTGAACCAGATCAGGGTGCGAATGAGTTCCAGAAATGAGTTGATGTATGAACAAGTCTGTATAAGCAACGCCTCCTGTCCACCACGGCGCAACATATCACCGTGACGCCATCAGGCAGGGGAAATTGACGTTATTTCTGCTTCCTCTTCTTTTGTTCTCGCTTCATCCAGAGCTCGAAGGTCGGCTTTACAGAACCGGTATGTCACAGCCGCGTTGAAAGTATGGCTAACAATGTTGGTTGGTGTACGAATGCGGTCCCTAGAAAATATAAAAAGCAAAGCTCGCGAAACTTTAGAAATGTCGGAATCCATGCGCAGCGTCCCTAAGATGTACACCTATTGTGTGATGTCGTAATTGTATGCTGTATATATAATGGGATGGATGATAAACGTACGGCATAACGCCTCGTTTGCACCGTCTAATAGGGGGATTACTTACAGTCATATAAAAACTAGTATTCTAAGGACACCTGGCGCGGGATTAACCAACTGGTTCGCCTTTATCCAGACATGCACGCCTTCTTACGGGTATAAGCTATGATAATATAATTCATCTGCACGTCGCCAAATGGGGGAACTGGGGATCCAGTAGTCTAAAAAAGTGCGGAGTTTCGTCCCTTATCTGTTCCAGGATCTGTACGTTATTGGTTCACATACAAATTATGCCCAGGTTTCTGACCGAATGTTTGCCAGCACTGTACCTGCGCTCGTGGTTTTGTCCAAAGGCCCACAATCACTGAAGTTCAAGCGTCCTACATTCAGGTGATACGCCGTGATATAAACCCATATTTTAAACGTCGTTAACCTCAATCCACTTTGTTTAGCGTGTTGGTGTGATCACCTAAGGGGTCGGACATCTACTTCTTCTAATTTGCATGTGCAAGAAAAACTAAACTGGCAAAACACAGGCACGTGCTGTATCCTGTCACGCCCTGATGTAGCTGATATACTGTTCCAAGCAGCGCGATACCTCAGTCACGGTACGTCAAAGGCATGCAGCATCCATTGCTTGGCAAATGTATTCAAGCTGGTTGTGAATCACAGCGTTCTTACACAGTATGGCTGAGGGTGTTCCATTCAGACAGTAGTACTTGAGTAACTGCTCACACACTCGTGAGTATCCTACTACGCGAAACACGGTATGTACTACGTTCATTAACAAGGGAACCAAAACAAATGGAAAAAAACACCCCAAAAAATTCCAAATAAATATATCTTAACTCAGATGACGGATGTCTTCAGTCAACAGAATGGTATTGCCATTCAGTCCATGCATCGTTAATATAGAGTGTGTATATAATTTGTGTACTTGCATTTCATTAGATTGTGTCACATTCCTTTTGTTCCCTACAGTGTTACACTTACAAGAACCACTCGACTGCAAACAAAAGGGCGATGTGGTCAACAGGTATGTTGGCGGACGTCAGTATGATGAATAAGGTGACGATGCTGGAACTAGGGACGGATGGAATTGCCATTGCTGCTACAGCCGTTAACACTCTGAAACATGGAGGAGTGAGTGAGTGAGTTGGGTTTAACGCCGCTTTTAACAGTATTCCAGTTATATCACGGCGTGTCAGCTTAATGTGGGAGGAAAGCCCGAAGTGATGCAGGTCTCAGACGGTTACCACTTCAGTGAAACCCACGAGCACGGGTATGGTGCTGACAAACCAAGAAACATAATCGGGGCGAACCGGGATTCGAACCCACAATCATAGGTTTCTGGCATGCCCAAGGGACGCAACTCTGCACAGCGAATCGCGGCGCCTTAGACGACTGGGCCACCCGTGCCCCCGAAACATGGGGGAAGGACTGAAACAGCTGTTATCATACTGAAACATGGAAAACGGACTGATACAGCCGTTATCACACTAAAACATGGAGGGGGGACTGATAATGTCGTTATAACACCGAAACGTGGAGGAGGGACTGATACAGCCGGCATCATACTGAAACATCGAGGAGGGACTGAAACAGCCGTTATCACACTAAAACATGGAGGGGGGACTGAAACAGCCGTTATCCTACTGAAACATGGAAAAAGGACTGATACAGCCGTCATCACACTGAAACATCGAGGAGGGACAGAAACAGCCGTTATCACACTAAAACATGGAGGGGGGACTGATACAGCCGTTATCACACTGAAACATGGAGGAAGGACTGAAACAGCTGTTATCATACTGAAACATGGAGGAGGGACTGATACAGCCGTTAACACTCTGAAACATCGAGGAGGGACTGATACAGCCGTTGTCACACTGAAACATGGAGGGGGGACTGATAAAGTCGTTATAACACCGAAACGTGGAGGAGGGACTGATACAGCCGGCATCATACCCCAACATCGAGGAGGACTGAAACAGCCGTTATCATACTGAAACATGGAAAAAGGACTGATACAGCCGCCATCACACTGAAACACCGAGGAGGGACTGAAACAGCCGTTATCAGACTAAAACATGGAGGGGGGACTGATACAGCCGTTATCACACTGAAACACCGAGGAGGGACTGATACAGCCGTTATCACACTGAAACACCGAGGAGGGACTGAAACAGCCGTTATCATACTGAAACATGGAGGAGGGGCTGAAACAGCCGTTATCATACTGACACATGGAAAAAGGACTGATACAGCCGTCATCATACTGAAACATCGAGGAGGGACTGATACAACCGTTATCACACCGAAACATGGAGGAGAGACTGATACAGCCGTTATCACACTGGGGTTTACAAGTAAGTGAGTGTGTTGGGAGTAACGCCACTATAAACAGTATTTCACGAATATCACCTTAGAGGGAAGTGTAGTGAATCATGGACGTGTGTCCCTTTTCTGAAACCCACGAGCACAGTCATGGAGACACAGAAAGAATAACAGTCATGGCGAATCTGGTATACGGATCAGGGTGACAGCATCCTGGCACGCCCAGTGGACTCACTCTGTACTGTCAATTGCGCCGCCTAAAAGATTAGGCAACCCGTGCCCTATATATAGTTATTGTCAGCTTGAGTGTCTCTAACAAATAAGTTTCACAAACCACTTTTACAAAACACAAGGCATGACTCCTAATATTTCCATAATCACACTCTAGGTGAGGTTACAGTAGTCATGTTAATAGAAATGCCATCGGGTACACAGTAGTGTAAGGTGGGGTACATGTTGAAATCAGTTGCCTAGTATTCATTATCGAAGTTCCAAGAAAACATTTGAATGTTGTCTATCACATGCACAGACTTACTCACCCTATAATAGCCACGACGCCTGTTGTGACCTCCACGCCACTAAGATTGGCTATGAATAACGCTGCTGACGTAATGTAGAGGGCGCTGCCATCGGCGTTCAGCGTTACGCTAAATGGAATCACGAAGCGACTCACTCGGGAATCAATACCGTTTTTAACTTCACAGGATTCTAGCATCTCAGGAATAGCCACCGCACTAGAAGAAGAAAAACAGGCACACATAGACCTGATTTCATGCATAAAACGTTCAACAATGACGGTCTTGTATACACAATTTGGTACACTAATGTGTGTATGTGGGTCGAAAGTAAAATAAAGAAAACATGTGATAACATGAACATGACTATCCTGTGGAGTACTGGGAGCAAAATAATTATATTTTTCACGGGATTAATTAATTTATTCCGTGAAATAATAATGTATGTATGTATGTATGTATGTATGTATGTATGTATGTATGTATGTATGTATGTATGTATGTATTTATTTATGTATTTATTTATGTATTTATTTATTTATTTATTTATTTATTTATTGCCTGAATCTTAAATCATCTTTCGGACCGACATTTTTTATATTGATCTATACAGAATGTAACGTTATAGCTTATACATATTTCCGAATATATCACTCAGCGCCTGTACAAAACATGGCCATGTGTATAGTAATAGACAAGTAGAAAGTTTCATGAAAGATAACAGTTTGTAAGGGAGACAGAAGTTGAGAAGTTGTGGCGGACAACGTGGCTTCTTTGTGTAGCGTATGTACCCAGACAGCGTGCCTTCCTCGAAAGTAATAAGTCCAAGCGTTTTGTTGAAATGTCTTCGGAACCTTCCTGTTTATGTTTAATGGAACGGGACAGAGATCATTGCACTCACTGATTAAGTGTCACGCACATAACAGACACGCCCGTCTTCTCAGGGGAGAATGTCTATGATACATATTTGGGTGTAGCTGATCTACATGCCAGTAAAAGTAACGTCCCCTTGCTCTGTGCACGGGAAGCAAAGGAATACATGGTACACCTGCACACCATCTTTGGTGGAAAACAGCAGGTGAAGACTCCCAAGCCCAGTAGATTTGCTATAATTGGCTATTGATGTAATGTAAGATGTTCGTGTTCAACTCACAAGTAACCACGAGCGAGATGGTTGCCTTCGGGGACTGAGGTGCAACGCCACAGAGTGTAAGGGAGGCTACTCGTGATGGCTTCGCACGTTTCTGGATCAGCTTTGTTACAGCATGGAGGCTGTTTGGACGGCCATTTCATGGTCTAGGATGTCGCATGATGGTTATTGTCACACGTTAGATGTTTACCGTTCAGTATTTTTCCTTCCAAGTGGAGTGAGTGAGTAAGTGTGGTTTTACGCTGCTTTTGATAATATTCAAGAAATATCAAGGCGTTATTCGTTATTCTCATGTCAGAAAAACCCTAAACGTGATAATGACTATCAAAGATATATTTTGATGTGAGTGAATACGTTGTTGTTATAGTCTGGGTGTATCACGGCAGACTGTAATTAAACGAGCCTGGTCCAGACCAACTATTGACTGAGCTATGAGCACCGATCAGTGGAGCATGACAACACACCAACAGCTAGCTCACTGAGTCTAGCCATTCAGTCATCTACAGATGACCGTTACATGCGTGGGATGCTAGGGACCTCAGCCTCCCCGCATCCCCGCTGGGTGTTTAACTCATTCCGACACTCACGTGCTCGTGGAGGCGAAACCGATGAGACAGGGTCGAATGATGGTCAGAAGGTATGCGTAGGGATTTCTCCTTGTCAGTGCAAACAAGATGGCGGGCAGGACGACGAAGGAATGAAACAGAATGCCAACTGTAACAGCGACGACAAACATCCCCAGCTGTGAGAAGGTCCCCGTGATGTTGCTCACCCCAGCCACCGACACTGCGATGAGGCTCCCGATACCCAGAGGTGCTACCCTGAACAACAGAGGGAGAGCGTCTATAAATACGGTGGCATCATGCCGGCAGGCGAACAGCATCGCATTCAAACTTATATATGTACAGAATGGCAACAATATGGATCAATGTAGGTATAAAACTGAAACGTCATCTGAAGTCTGTGACTGACATTTAAAATTGTAGAAGAGGAAGTCATGGAATAATATGGTTGAAAATGTCTTCATTCGTGTTTCCCTGGTAGAGTTGCCACAATTCAACCCTTTAAGCACTTTAAAAGACCGAGAAGCTGTTTTAGGTTAAAATTCATCCTCAGACATACTCAATTCGCATATTTACCAAAAGAATTTTCTCAGGATCAGGAGGACAATCTCCGTGGCAGCTGAGAAGAACTTGAGGAAGACGTCGGCCTTGTCTTTCAGGGCGCTGGCAGCCATGCCGATGATGGTGCAAGCGGTGATAAGACCTGTAGGAAGTCAGATAGACATATTTCAGGACAAGAAAGTGTGAAAGTATCCACACATGAGTATGTATGAGTATTAAGTAATTGGTTTAAATCTCTTTTCTCTTGATGCTAATCGATTCATTGACAACATTATTCGGTTAGCCTCGGCCGAGTGGTTGGAGCAACGTGCGTAATACTCAAGGTAAAGATGACGAGTGACGAAAATGAGAAAATCAGAATAACTATTTCTTTATCGCATTAACCTTAAAGTAAACTCATTGAATACATGTTCACTGTAACATACGCAAAATATTTGCTGAATAAATATTATTTCTACGAGTAAGGTATACGAATAGTTGTGAGGTCATGTTTCATGTTTGCCATCACTATATATTCAGTTGTGGATTCCTGCTATATATTATACCTTGCATCACACCATGTATAATATAAATTTATAATAGTATTCCTTAACAATCACAAGCTTAATTTATTTATTTATTATTAGATTTTTATGCAAGTGTTTAGTTTTCGCCCGCCTCATAATTGTAAGCCCACTCCACACGTGTGTGACGGGTAGTGCGACATTAGAATGCATGGAGAAGCGTAGATTGGAGCAACTATCTGCGACGTCGGAAAACGATAGACGTTGCGAGTGAGCACGAAGACTCCCGATAACTCAAGGCATGTTACTCCTATGTCATGTCTCCCTGATTCCACACAGGAGCAAGAATCATCTCCACACCCGCCAGGTAGCAGCGTGTATTACCTAGCACGTTGACACTGTCCGTCTTGCCCAGGGACTTGGTGACGTGTGTGAGGGCATCGCCGACAGAGGTGTTGGTGTTATTCCTCGCCACCCCCGTCAGTGACGACGCGTACCGTGTCTGGGCCTGTGTCAACAAATGGAACACTCATTATACACATGCGCATTAGATCGGAAATGTGTAAAGCCCTCTTAAACATCACACATTTCAATGTCAACGTGTGCACAATATAGCATTTATGATGTAAGAGCCTTAACATGTGACCAGGTACCATGGATATTCAATGATAGTTTCTCTTTTCTTTGTAAAGGTATAATTCACTCACAGGTGTACGTGTAGAAGTCATTACACGCGTACCCGTCAGATATCGGTATTATTACAACAAATATTTCATCTCCGTACCTAACGAGTGAAAGTGATATCTGTGTAAATGTTGAAGTAAATGTCGTGACTGTAAAACAACCAGTCAGCAGTTACTAGTTTGTACCATCCTTGTGATGTTGTGATGTTGTGATGTAGTGATGTCACTACGCCCTGTTGTCTAGGTCTGATTCCCCACACAGATGCAGATGAGCACACCATTCATTCCTGAACACGGCACAGATGCACAGATTTACATTAAAACTGTATTTCAAATGTCTCTCGTGTTGTAAGCTCAACATTTCTATAATATATGTATGTGGGTGCTAAAAGTATTGGCTATCTTGAAACAGATACAGGTAAAACTTATGTTCTCTTATGAAAATCAAATTATATGATCCCAGAACGTGTGTACTGTGTTTACGTTTAAGGCCAGGCTTTTTTATTTTTAGGATTACGGATTTTTCAGCCCAAAGTCCAGGGTTGGAGGAGGGAAAAAAAGCCAGATGCATTTTTAAATGCAGAATGCCTCTGGCATACTTTATGAACATATTCTGTGCTCAAAAGACCGCCATTTGTGACGATAAAGCCCCTCGAAACAATACAAATTCTACCACTTCCAACACAAGACAATTGTCAAGGAAGGCTATTCATGTTCAGCTTCGAGATCAACAAAGATCGTTTATGTATCTCTTTACTTGTTTACAACGGTAAATTCATATGTTTTTTTTTATAAAAAGGTGATGATAACAAATATAACTGATAACTGATTACGCGGCTATCGGCGGGGAAAAAATGGAAATCGTATTTTTTTATATAAAAAAATACGCTTTCTCAAAAATTAGAGTCGGCGGGTCCGTAATCCGAAATATAAAACGCCAGACCTAAAGTCAGAACTCGACCCTTCTAAAAGAAAAGAGCAATGTTTGTACATTTAACACAGGACGGTCCACCGAGGAGATTCCACCGATTAATTGCCACTGCCAACGAGAGAATACAACAGTGGAGAATGTATATTATATATATACTTGTAATTGTTTTGCAAACTGACTGATTCATGTGTGCATGTGATTTCGAATGAGTCATACCTTATGCCAGTTGATATACATGTAGTGCGTGACATTGATGAATACAATATTCATTTTGATATTCTCTGAAAGTACACCCACGTTTCCGCGTTGGAAACATCCGTTTGCCAAGATTACGTTCGTGTTGTTTTCATACTATAGTTAATTTTTGTCTGTTAGTAGAGTAATGTATGATAATTGGAAAGGCAGCACACCTGTCTGAATGTTGCTTCCACCAAATTGTCCGGCACAATATTCCTGCAACAGAACAATAACGTACTGTACACATGACACAGTCTACGTGCATCACGTAAACACACAACCGTCAGGTTGCATGGGTCAGACAATGGTCAGAAATGACAATATATCAATTCATGAGCAATTTTCACATGTACTTTACCGTTCTGCACAAGTAACTAAATTCATTCCTGGATATTATCTTATTTTTCACATACAGTGAAATTGAACTACAGCGGGGTGAAATCGTGAAAGTTTTGAGATGGTAGTAAAAAGCGGCCGGTGAGGTAAAACGAAGGACGATATAATTAAAAAGACGGAACGAACAACGTTCAACTATTTTGAAGTTTGAACCTTTTTACCGTATTCAGGGGTTCTGAGTACAAACATTAACCCTTTATCTGTGATTAACCCTCATGGTCCGTGATTGCAACTGATATTACACTTGCAACAAACGAGGACAACCACAACGAGCTGACCGTATCGAATCCCCGTGACCTCCACTGTACAGGTTCCAGGAGGTCAGTTAGTCCTTCAGCGCTGTGGTGTTAAAACAAGATATGATGCTAAATATATGGCGACATCGACCGCAACCTCCTTCCGGACTGTGCGAGAAATTAATGTCCCTCTTATCTAATCGCTGGACCGAGAGACACCAATACTTGAACGGCATATCTCCAGTGTAAATTGTTTTGTTTGAGGACATTAATACCTTTCAAAGGGTATTGAATATTAAATGTCTACCTTTTTATATGAAAATCACTTAAAGTGTTGCATCCCTGAAGGATTATGTCAATTGAAGTGGATATCACGTTTTCGTCACAAATGCAAAACATAATTTAGCCTTTATTTACAAATGATCTTAATGAGAATGCTGACGACAGATACGCTGTGTATCGGCCATGATAGAAGTTACACCAGCTGTTTTGTTATTTTCGAGGGATGGCACGATACAGTTACACCAAGAAGGTGCAGCAACGGCCTGCATACAATGCCTGTGAAGATACATGTGTGGGTGCGTTCGGTATTATAGAAGGAAGTGCAAATATCAGTGAGCGAATGCTGTTTATGCCACAGCCAGCAGTCACGATGGTTCAGGAATCATCGGACCTAGACAGACAAACCAGGGCTCGATTGCATGATTGTTTGTTTGTTTGTTTGTTTGTTGTTTACCGCCGCACTCAGCAATATTCCAGCTATATGACGGCGGTCTGTAAATAACTGAGACTGGACCAGACAATCCAGTGATTGACATCATGAGCATCGATCCACGTAATTGGGATCAATGACATGCATCAACCAAGTCAGCGAGCCTGACCACCCGATCCCGTGAGTCGCCGCTTACGACAAGCAGAGCCGCTTTTTACAGCAAGCCTGGGATGCTGAAGACCTATTCTACCCCGGATTTCCACGGGTCTCTATTGCATGAGCAACGATCCACGACTTCAGGGTATCGTGGTGCATGTATTGCCAGGTCCCATGTTTGAATCACCTGGGACACGTTTGACCAGTGTATCGTGGTGTATACATTGCCAGGTCCCATGTTTTAATCACCGGGGACATGTTTGACCAATGTATCGTGGTGTATACATTGTCAGGTCCCATGTTTGAATCACCTGGGACATGTTTGGCCAATGCATCGTGGTGTATACATTGCCAGGTCCCATGTTTTAATCACCGGGGACATGTTTGACCAGTGTATCGTGGTGTATACATTGCCAGGTCCCATGTTTGAATCACCTGGGACATGTTTGACCAGTGTATCGAGGTGTATACATTGTCAGGTCCCATGTTTTAATCACCGGGGACATGTTTGGCCAATGTATCGTGGTGTATACATTGCCAGGTCCCATGTTTTAATCACCGGGGACATGTTTGACCAATGTTTCGTGGTGTATACATTGTCAGGTCCCATGTTTGAATCACCTGGGACATGTTTGACCAATGTATCTGGGTGTATACATTGCCAGGTCCCATGTTTAATCACATGGGACAAGTTTAACAAATGTATAGTAGGACTATGACTGTCGTAAGTCAATGTTTAACTGTGGGGCCCAGATCTCCATTATGCGGCGTTTTTTGACACACAAGGAGCACTATGTTCTGTAGTTAAATCCCTACGGAGGCAATTATAAGAGACATTATTGATATTCTTTTACTACAAAATACACAGAGAACTTCCTACATGAGAAATGAAGAGAAAATTACGACTCTTATAACATAGAGCTACTGTAGGGTATATTGGTGAGGTATTTATTATGTAGAGGGTTACTTTGTTACACGTCAATGTGCACATATTTCCTATTTCACCACTGGAAAAGCACATTTCTGCAACACATCTATATCCGTCGTGACATCCTATTTCCGTTCAATTTAAAGGAAAACCAAAATTATTGTATATGATGTGTGTGTCCATCAGGGAACTATCGTGTCCTTCCAGTAACGTTTTGTGGGCAACGGCAGCTTCCATTGATGAGGTTTGGGAGGATGGAGTTCACAAGGTATTGGGAGGATGGAGTTCACAAGGTAATGGGAGAACCAAGGGAGGACAAGGAAGGCTGGGTGTGGGAGAAGACAGGATGCAAAGATGGCGTTAATGGCTCGCCCTACACTGCCACAAGTCACTTCAATAAGGAGACGCCAATAAAGGACGTCCATGTCACTTACCTGAGCATATCGGCGAATATATCCTGTGTTTCCATGATCTCACGAGTGGCACTTTCGTCAATACTCAACTCCTCAGCTCCTGTCAGAAACATGCGACAGCACAATACATACAGCACCATCTGTAAAACCACCCTTTTCGGTCTCTTCAGTGTCAACTAATCTTTCTATTTCAGAAATTCGAAGTATTTACATCGCTGGATTTCACATCGCCATGTTCAATAATTCTTGCTTCGATGAGACATACATTTACAATTGAAATATATTTTTATACTGTTTCATTACCTAATAAATGGTGCGTTATTTTTGACAATATTCAATTCTTTTAGCGAGTGCGCTTACCTGGTTGAATGATGAAATGTAGAGCAATGGCCTCTATGCAAACAAGACTGTTCGTTGCTACGATGAAGGCGAAAGCTATGGCGCTAACTTTCCCATTGGACTTTGGATCCAGTGATGCAGTTCCTACGTGACAATGAGTTTACAATTTGTAGTCTTATTAAAGAAAGCTTTCACATGCATAAGCATTAATCAAGTCTTCGTACAATGATCGTAATGGCACCTCGGGTACAATTTTGTTTATTATTTTTACCTGATATAACGCTGCACACAATCAACGGTAGAATCATCATTCTGAGCATGCGCAGGAACAGCTCTCCTGGCATACCTGGAAGTACATTGTGAAATAAATAACACTATAAACAAGATGAATACGCGCCATAGACCGACTTTGATCGTGTTAAATGTCTAACAGACAATTTGTCTTGACGATACTCTATGAAGCTTTTCCTGTTGTTTGGTAGGTATGTGTAGTGTATCTGCATGGTACATCAGTGTGGCATATCTACGTGGTATATCTATTTGGTAAAGCTGTATACATGCGTGGTATATGTGACTGGTATAGCTGTTTATATGCGTGGTATTTCTGTGCGGTATATTTGGATGGTATATTTCAGGATACTGGTATTTCTGCGTTGTATCTATGTGTGGTATATATGTGTGGTATATATGTATGGTATATATGTGTGGTATTTATGTGTGGTATAAATGTGTGGTATGTATGTGTGGTATGTAGTATACTTGCGTGGTATACATGTGTGGTATATATGTGTGGTATATATGCATGGTATAAATGTATGGTATGTATGTGTGGTATATATGTGTGGTATATATGTATGGTATGTATGTGTGGTATATATGTGTGATATATATGTATGGTATGCATGTGTGGTGTATATGTGTGGTATGTATGTGTGGTTTATATGTGTGGGATTTATGTATGGTATGTATGTGTTGTATATATGCATGGTATATATGTATGGTAAACATGTGTGGTATATATGTGTGGTATATATGTATGGTATGTATGTGTGGTATATATATGTGGTATATATGTATGGTATGTATGTGTGGTATATATATGTGGTATATATGTATGGTATGTATGTGTGGTATATATATGTGGTATATATGTGTGGTATATATGTGTGGTATATATGTGTGGTATATATGGGTGGTATGTATGTGTGGTATATATATGTGGTATGTATGTGTGGTATATATATGTGGTATATATGTATGGTATATATGTATGGTATGTATGTGTGGTATATATATGTGGTATATATGTATGGTATGTATGTGTGGTATATATATGTGGTATATATGTGTGGTATATATGTGTGGTATATATGTGTGGTATATATATGTGGTATATATGTGTGGTATATATATGTGGTATATATATGTGATATATATATGTGGTATATATGTGTGGTATATATGGGTGGTATGTATGTGTTGTACATATGTGTGGTATATATGGGTGGTATATATGGGTGGTATGTATGTGTGGTATATATGCATGGTATATATGTATGGTATATGTGCGGTATATACGTGTGGTATATCTGTGGTATATCTGTATAACTGAGGGGTATATTTGTGTGGAAAATCTGCATATTTGTTTTAAACATATTTTATTGACATACATGGTCAACGGGTTTGGCAAAAGTTATCCAACTTACGTGGCCCTTTTCCTAATGTATATGTAATAAGCAACAAAGGGAAATATATTTGTAAGGAAAACATAGGCATGTTTTAACATAACGTTTGGAAGAAGGCCACAAACATACCTCAAACGCCCATATGAACAGGATAAGGAAAGTTTTTCTTTTAACGATCGATTAAACTCATACAGCCAAGGGTTTTAAAAGTCTAGAATTTATATCATCTGGTCCGCTTGATTTATTGCATGGTGGGGACTTTATGAGATCACTTATTTCTGATGCAGTGACAGTAATATCCGAGATAGAGGTTTCACAACGTTGACTGAAATCCGGAAGCGGCTGATTACCGTCATCAACATCACAAATAGAAACAAGGTAATTATTGAGTACATCCGCCTCTTCAATATCAGTAAATGCTGTAGGTTTATTAAGGTCGGTGCACAGAGTGAGAGACGAGATCGCTTAATTTTCCAGTTCGTAATGCCTTTTTCTCGATAACGGTCCTTGGAGCGACGCTCCCTTCTGAGGTCATGGTTTGTATGTTGGGCGAAAAGTTGAGGGTATACGCTCATACATGTAATCTTTTATCTGGGAGTGATTTGTTTTACACATTTTATAAACGCCTGTACATTTTTTAAATAGTTCGTTCCAATTTTTATTCATAACCTGCATATTCATTTTATCAAAGATAGCTTGTTTTGTAGAGCCACACTTTTCTTTTATATCTCTTTTTCGCATTAATAGAAACGAAAACTCCCCTGTGGTCCGATATATCGGAACAAAAATCAAGTACACCGGATATGGAACAAGTACAATCATTTCTTACTAAAATAGGATCAATAAGTTTATCCGAAAGTGTTGTAATTCGTTTTGCATCGCAGTGCCGTAGCCATCCGGGGGGAAGTGGGTGGGGGTGAGGCAGTCGCTCCCTAGATTTTATTATAGAAATCAGTTTTATTTGAATCAAGTTGGGGAAAAGTGGTACTTGTACAATTATTTGCCCCCACCAACAAGGACGATGTCACGGGGTACATCCAGTGCAGTTTTTATCATGTGCTTAAGAACAGTCCAATATGCCATGGGGGTGTTGGGTACGCGATAGATGACACAGAGTAGAAAACTGTGCTGTGGTGAATTAACTTGAAACCACATTGATTCAGAATTACTTACTTCCATGTCTGTTCTATGCTTGACACCAAGTGAATTAGAAAAAAATATACAATAATGCCACCAGTATATTTTGAGTGGTATAGCTGAATATCTGCGTGGCATATACGTATAGTATGTCTGCGTCGTACGTTGGGTATATATATACATATAGCCGTACAATATGTCCACGCCTGTCGGTGATCTTGGCCGGTGAGTCTAACTGACGATATCGTTCAGGATGACGTGGATGTAAATAGGTACGAGCCGGCGACGTAAAGTGGCGTTAATGACATTTATAGATAGCGCTGGGAGTTAAGTGTCCTGCCCGGAGTAGGCGTATGGATGGAGGGAATATAGGCCGAATGGTGGATGATTTTATGAAACAGACAACGGAGATTTCAGTGGACTTTAGAATTTAGGTATTTTGGATAAATGAAGAAACCCGCTGAAAATGTTTCCACTGGGACATATGCTAGATGATCAGTTGTTGAAGATCACATGAAAATGTGTGTATGATCAAGGTTAAACAGTCGGCGTATGGCCAAAAACACAATCTGGTGATTGGACGCAGTGTGAGGAAGAAGCGTCCAGCTGAGGGCATCACCACAGGTCGCCAACACAAGCACTGCAACCCTTCTCACTGCACGTAGTACACATGCGTAACTCACTTGATTTCGACTTACCTATCCACATGAGGGCGTCTTTGGATGGATGCAGTTCCCTGACTCCGAATCCAACTCCAAACCCTACTACGATGCCAGCAATTGTAAGCAGAAGCAGGGCGTCCCTTCGCACAAACAATTTCACCTTGAACAGAAAGGCGCTTTTCCTGCTGGGTTCTCCTTTAAAGGGGTCCGCTGTTAGATTCTGCAGTTCCATCGTTCTGAAAGTCTTCAAACATTGTAGGTGTAAGCAATGATAACATAACTGCAACATGACATTCGGGTCTTTCCCCCATTGACAGACCTTCCTGTTCCTGTTTTCATTTATAGCTTTCCATTTCTACGTTTTTTCTCATTTGTAGTGTGCATATAATGTATACACTATTATGTCACGCTAGCGGAACAAAGTGTCTGGAGGTACCGATTAAAATTTTAAAATGCCGCAAAGAGGGTTTGGATGATCCTGGCACAGTCAGGCTGGTTAGGCTCATCATCAGCTTGCCCCCACTTCACGCTACCCAGAGAGCGAATGGGACTTCTCCCAGGAAGCGCCGCCTGGTCAAACCCACCCACAACTTTTCGGAGAATGTGAAGACTCCCCAACACTGCAGCCTTCTGCATTACCCAGATTATCAGTAGGGCTGTATTCCTGGTAGCAAACCCGGGTACACTCCCAATATCAGTCAACAGATTGGGAAGTACCAAACCTAAGGCACCAAGAACAATATGGAGTCGGACAACTTGGGTACTTGGGATGCAAGCGTGACATTTCGAAAGCGAGGTCCGCATATTTACCATGTTTTTCCTCAATCTTGTCAATTACATTAGTGTCAAAAGGGGGAAAAAATCAATAACAAAAATGATTTCATTGGTTTTATCAAAAAGGACAAGATCAGGTTTGTTGGCCTGGATATGTCTTAGGCTGTATACGGGTGGGCCTATTCCAAATAATTTTGTATTTTTCATTTACGATGACGCCATCTACATATGCTGGGTCGTACCATCGATGGACCCCTGTGTCAAAACCACAAGCATGGCGAAGACGGTATAAAAAGATCGAGCTCTTCCATCATGTCCCTTAAGATACTGTGTTTGTGCCAAAGCTGGGCATCCACTAACAATGTGTTGGACATTCTCATTCAATTCATTGCATAAACTACATTTCATATTTACATTGCGATACAAAATCACACATTGACGGTTTCGAGTGGGAAGTGACTGGTCCTGAGCAGCAAACAAAAAGCCTTCTGTTTTACTTTTCAGGCGAGCCGAACTGATCCAAGCAAAGGATTCTGCAGGGTTGCAAAATGTCACTCGATGCAGTGGTCGTTCAGATAGCCTGAGTCTGGACCAATTTGATATGGCACCGTCCAGCAGTACAGAACCATCAACAGAGTCAACACCGACATTGAGATTATGTCCCACATCCTTGGCTCGTTAACGAAAGCTGTGGGATGCCTTGTTTTCATCGTGAGTCTTGACATACTTCACAAGAGGATCATTAGACAAATAAATGTGCGCAAAAGTGCACAAAACAATTTAATCATGAACAGCCCCAACGTTAATCAAACCACTCCCTACCCTAATGATTGGTAAATATAAGTGATTGACGGAGGAGCGAGGGTGGTGGGATCTATTGTCTGACATGATTCTTCGTGTGAGGGTGTCAATACTCTGAATTTCTTGTTTCATCCAATCAACAACACCAAAAGAATATGAAAGAACGGGTACAGCATAAGTATTTGTGGCTTTAGCTTTATTGCGAGCGTTCAGCTCTGAACTCCAGATTTTCTTAATTCTACATTTGTACTCGGTCCGAAGGTTTTCCTTGATATGGGCATTCTGGAGTCTGTCCCTAATCTGTATCCCTATATACGTACAGGCCTGACCTTCCACGAGATGGTCAATAACTCCTCCTCCAAGTAAACTGACTGATCCTCCCTCTTCTACCTTGCCACGTTTCAAATAAAGAATGTTGCATTTGTCGAGTCCAAAGGACATGCCGATATCATTAGAAAAGGACTTGACAAGGAGAATATGTTTTTTAGTGTGGATCCTCCATTGGCAATTATTACTGTTATTATTAAAATACGATTAATGCATATGGCTGCCGATTAGAATTGGTAATGTTCGATATCAGAACAAGAGTTTATCAGACATCCTGAAATCTATTTCAGAACACACACAATCAACGTACAACACACAGTAATAACTACTCAATGCATCACCATCAACAGTTTCATGGGTCACACAAATGACCAGTCTCTCTCAGACTCTCCGCCTCCGTGGTCTGGAGGATAGTGCGTCTGTCCAGGAGAGATGAATGTCGGAGGTTCAATCCCCGGCCGCGTCATACCAAAAGACGTTACAAATATTACAAAATATAAGTGCAGTAATCTTGAATGGTGGATATGTCTCACTGTTAGGAATTAAGTTTATCATCCAACATCGAACTTTTGAACTGGTCCCTTATACATCTATAGATGGACTACTTCAAGTTTCAAAACACAGTTGGTTGATCTCCTGAATCAAAACACATCGAGGTCAGAATAACACCAGAATCAGAACACATTTTCTGCGTTGATATAGTACCGAGCAGAATAGATGTGACAATTTCAAGATTAACAAATAATTAATTTAATTTAACACGAAGTTTGTCCTCAGGGTTTGCACACTCTTGTATACGACAATGGTTTTATAAGATAGCATCGTCCAAAGTCGGTGAAACATTTCCTTTTCTGTCCAGACACTGTTGGACACCATGCTATCTAACAAATTGTCTGTAAAAGACTCGCTCCAGATCGCTCCATGCCTTGTGGACAACATGAGACCATTCGTTCACATTCTCAGGTTCCAGTTTTATCTTTCTTCTATACACAATGCCTTTTAGAATGTGTTCCAATTTAACAAAAGTTATATGTGGGATTTAACACTTTCTTTTTAAAGTACAAATTTTAGTACTTTTGGGGGTTGAGTCCAATTTGGGACTCTGAGAGTTTGGGTTCGAATACAGGATGGGGTTAACCCAAAAAGTACCAGAATGCTGTACTAAGAAAATGTTGACTCATATATAACACTTGTTTTCTTTCTTCACTTGCCATATATTTTCACTTGGGTTGTGATCTGGTGAAGCTGCAAAATTGTTCAATATCGTTGCTATCTAGACAGGTTCGGGTGAATTGCGAGGCGTTATCTTGTTAAAGTTGAAAGGGTAGTTGACTTTGGGCGATATTTGAATCAAGGATGTCCTCTTGTAAAATGTCACAATACTTTCAGGAACTTGATGCTGGATTGTGTAATATATGCTCATGATACCTTGGTTGTACCTACTTTATTGTTCGGTTCGGAAGTCTGGGGCTTTGAAAATGTAGATACCATAGGGAGAGAGTACATCGAAAATTCCTAAAAATTGCAACCGGTCTCAGAAAGTCAACACCAGGTGAATTGGGTGGAGAGCCTTTAAATATTACAGTTTGTAAACGAGTTATATCCCTTGGGCATAAACTTGCTTTTAAACTGGTCCTTCCAAGTTATCACATATGCTGCAAAATTATATTGTATTGACAAGTGACGTTAATACGTAAGTGTACCCATGGTTACACTTTATAAAATAAACCTTAAATAGTGTTGGTCTTACAAAGATATTTTTTTTGCACCACGCCCTGGTCCGCCCCGAATGTTGAACGAATACTAAAAGACCATTTCTTTCAAAACTGGAGACATAGTATCCCCCCAAGTCCGAAGGGACAATATTATCAACATCATAAGGCAAGGCCAAACCTTTAACGTTATCTTATTCTTCCTAATAATATTTCTGGACCCATTCAAAAATTCAGAACATTTCTGTAGCTATTGGGAGCTAGTCTTGAAACAAGAGATGAGACATCTGTGAGGTCCGATGGGTTTATTCAAGCGAGTGTTCCTGCAACTTATAACCCAAAGATGTATATACCCCTATAATAATTACTCTGATGTTGTAATTTACGGCTATCTGCCCCAGGCTGACACACGCGTCATGCTTGACCAAGAGAATAAAAGACCGGTGCGGACCGTGCCGCCGACTTTATCTATGATGATGTAATGCAATGTCCCGGAAATGCGTTTGCTTATGGACAGCTGCTGCGGTTGCGGTGGAGATATAAACGACATATACTGGTCTATCAACTTGCAAATAAAAGAATTACCTTCGTTAAGCTTAATTAAGGGAAATTATGTTCGCGTGGTAGCATAAGGATATCCCTCTCCGTCTTAACTCTCAGAAAAACAGTTTTCAAACTTCACGTACATTTTTCTTATGATTCCATTATATGGTCTCTGGCTCGACGTACGTACGAGGCCACAATTTTGAATGTAAATATATAACGAACTCTTGTTCAATATAATCATGGTTGATGGCAACCACAAAAGCACGAGAGAGGATGCTAACGTCTGAGACCTGTATCTTCTCGCTTTCCTCTCAAATTATTTAATGACATGCCAGACAAAACTGCAATGCTATTATAAGTAGCGGTAAAACCCACTCCCATCTTTCCTGTATGGAAAATCCTATTATGAATACACCGAGGTAGCTATGCCTCTCTGCTACTGTGAGACTGGTATTTCGAAATGGTAATACCTTTGCATGCCTGAGGCCTGAGACCATATACTAATACGTGGCCTCAGCTGCGGCTACTTTGCCATTGAGTGGAAACAAAGTAGTAACTGTAGCATATGACACAGAATATACATGTTTAGATACAATTTGCTGATATTCATCAATTGAGATCAGCTGTGAAGTGTTACCATTAAAGATCCTGAATGGCGCGGTGCTGGTGACGTGTGGGGCACTTGGAGACATGAGCTGCATGCAGCCCCTCACCGCTATTCGATACCGCTTTGGTCACAATGTACGATGTGTATATTAATTACCTATATCCCAGCAACAATACGTCTGTTTAACATGAACATGTAGCTGCGTATCAAAATACAGATTACATAATCAATTCTTTTTGGACACAGTTGGTAGGTCATGTTGAAACTATTTAAAAGAAGTCTCATTTGTCAATTCATGCTTTTGATGCAACATTTAGTTACATTTTGGATACGCTCCATCGCTTATCATCTTTCCGAGACAAGGGAGTTAACTGATTGTAAAAGTCCAGAGCTAGGCTGCAACTATGGAGTTATATTTTGGCTGGACTAACGAGTATATGCGTTGTCCAATCAAAATCGCGTAACGAACGTGCAGAG